GTGCAAGTGGACCTCCAGCAGTCTGTGTTTGTAGCATGGCCTTCTATTATAGTGCAGTCCAGTGGAAGTTCTTTGATACAGGATGGACCTAAATTGAAAATGAAAACAGAACAGGAGATTGATACCAGATATCTGCAAGTTGTTCAGTATGTACTTCCCCATTATGTTACACAGAGGAGAACATTTACTGCCTTCGCTTGTCTTAATTGTTCTCTTTTTTTTGTGTGTCCAATATTAATAATCCCTTTTTGACAATTTACTGTTAGATGAAGTTTTTTTTAATGATTTCTATAGCTTTCCAAGTTTAGAAAAGCTAAACTTGAAATAGTAGCTTTTTGATGCTTAAGGTAATTTACAATTATTTTGAGGGTTTATAATTCCTTGCACATGTACGCACACGTGCATATATACACAAAATAGGTAATGATGATATTAGTATCTCTACCACTGATCACTTTAAAAGGCATAAAGTAATCTCAGTCTGACACCACCTAGTAAGCCTTCTAGGTGTTTTTTTAAAAAAATTACCTTTGTCCCTTGTTTACTAAACACTCATCATGGTGTTTTCATAACAGAGTCTACAAACAAACCTAAAGCTCTCAGTACAGTAAAGATGCTGCCCTTAAATGCATTTTTCTTTGGTCATTTTAAGATAGTATTAAGCTTTGAAATTTCCCATCACTCACAGTGTGTTCTTGTCTCATCATATTCATTAGTCAGACCAGAACTAAATGGAAACTGATTGGATTCTTTTGATCAGACGCAGGCAAAGTTAATTAAATACCAGTGTTTTCTATGGCCAACCCACTTCTTTGGGCTGGTAGAATGCTGACAGCAGTGTCATAAATTCTTGTCAATCTGCCTGTCACTCATCGCTTATGAAAGTGCTGAGAGAAGGGACAAACAAATCTGTGAAATGTTAAGGGAAGAGGAAAGGCATGTTACATTTTCTTTTTTTTTTTTTGGTCCTTCTCAGCCTACTGCAGCCGCTGGCCTAGATGATTTTTTAAGGATGCTGGTACTCTTCAAGGCGTAATTTCTCACAGAAAAACTCAGTTGCAATAAGGGAATTACTCCATTCCACACTCCATGGCCCCCTGGACAAAATAAGCTTAAAATCTAGCTGCCTTTCAGAGCAAGTGTTTCATCAGGATACTAAACCAGAAAGTCAGGAATTTCGATGTCTGCCATACTGAGTAGTGCAGAGCCTCTCAAATGGCCTGTGTCTTCAGTGTTAGGACTGGTCTGTGTGGGAGTCATCACCTGCTCACCCAGGCTTTGATTGCCCATTTACGTAACTTCTCTGCAGTCTAGTGTTTGTATGGGGGGAAAAAAAACCCTGGAATTCCTTCGCAAACTAGAAAAGAAACACGATTACAAGCTGTTTCCTTCTTCTGTTTAGCATAACTGGTTTACAGTTTGGGGCTAAGGTGATTGAGGTGGTAGTTATCTCAGAGGCTGCAGAGCTTGCCTATAATTAGGGAAGGGGGGGGGGGCGGAATTCTGCAACTAAATGTGTATATGTTTACTTCTGTCAAAACTGCAGTAAAAGGTAACAGGATGGGGCATATGCAGAGCAGTCCAGGCTTATTTAGCAATGACGGCAAGGAAAGACTGTTCTGTGCTCCTCTGCAGCACAGAAAGCCCGGCAGGCTTTACTTTGACGACGTTTATGGGTAGGAGATCTAATTAGAAATAAGAACAATTTCAGTAAATAAAAAGTCATCAAAAAGACACAAAGAGCCAAAAATTGAGGGGAAGGTATTTTACAATAGTTTGATTTTGTGTCATCTTCCCTTGCTTTACAGTTGTGCTCTAAACCAGGAGTCTCCCAACTTAATTTGCTTGCTTAAGTATCGTCACAGAAAGAATTGATCAGCTATTGCAGGAGGAGGTATTCGCTGTCTTCTGGTGCATTCACACAGACCACCAAAAGTGCGGTTCCAGGCCTGCCTCTCCATCTTCCTCGGGTGCACAGTCAGATGTCCTGTTCTGTCTGACTGCATATTGTTAGGAATCAAAATTTGCCTAAACAACAATTCCTGTTTTCTTCTGGAGGAAAAAAACCTGCAAGCCAAATTACTTTTTTCTATACCACTTTGTAGCTTGAATGGTGATTTCCTATTCTTAAAAATTGCAGGGAGTACAAGTGTCTCGTAAAGAAGCTCCAGCTCTCGTCGTATGAGAACATAGATGCCATCAGGGGACTGGGTGGCAAATTTGTTTGGAAATGCTCTCTTGCTCCCATCCCATCCCATCCCATCCCATCCCATCAATAATTAAAAAAACCCAACCTGGATACTGAAGTAAAACCTATTCATATGACTGCCTTCCAGTATCTAGCATTTTTTGTTGTTTTTAAACAATTTAAATACTTAAGCATTTAATGCTATGCTGGCGGTTTGCAAAAAAGTTTTTGAGAGGCAGTATTGAAGAGACTGTTGATGTCCAGCTTGACAGCTGCTTGTCTCAGAAGTACGTGCCAGGAATTTCACCTCACTGTTTACTGTTGAGATACCTATTAAATAGATCAGAGTAATTCCAAGAATAAGAAAGTTAAAACTAAACCAGAATGATGTGGGAAAGTAAGATGGAAATAAGCGAGTTCATTGTGATATTTTCGATAGGTTTTTAAATAACCTCATATGAGAGCTCTTAAAAATAATTGTGTATAGAATTCCATGCTGTATTTTGCCGTTCTTTTAAAGCATGTGCATTTTATCAATAAAAGAAAACATAAATACAACAAGCGTTGTATAGATAAACCTTGCAGGTTTTATCAGAGCCTGTCATTTTCAAGTTTTTTATCATGATCCAGGGCATATTTGAAATTTGTGAAGTGCTTGTAGATATATTGAAATGCGACATTCACCCCTGTACTGCCACTCCTTTTAGATTACGCTGCAATAAGAAGCACTGCTAGAGCCTTTTCATTATTCCAGCCAGCTCCCTCTCAGATTGTAGTCATAAATCTTTGCAGCTTAGTTGCACTTTCTGAAAAATACAGGGACTCATAAATTAAAAATAAGATTCAGAATCCTGAGTAACTTTTACATTTCTGAAAAGTTAACTCATTGAAAAATATTTTCATCTCACCTATTTAATTTAAATTAAGTCAGTTTGTGTGTGTTAGGATTAATGTTTCTCCGGATCTGTTCTTGGCATATGTATTTCTTAATTTTTAGCTTTTAAGCATAACTTTTCGTGTGATGTTTAACTCTAGAAGGAGCATTTTTCACATCTGCTTGGAATCTTTTAGGTCCATTGAGACTGCAGGACTTGAGGCAAGCTCAGCAGGAGGGGTTTTCTGACAGTCTTACAGAATCCTTAGAGAGCCAAAAACTTTGAGACATGGGAACATGGCTCTAGCTGGAGGCACATGAACCAAGTCTGAATTCATCAGAAAAGCTGAATCACTGGATGAGTAACTGTCCCTAACAATCAGATGACATAGCATCATGTGTGTTTACCAGGCATAGCTTTAAAAGCTTTGAGGAAAAGAGTTTCTGAGTACATTAAGCTTTAGGTTTTTTGATTGGATATACCTCTATGTTTGAGTTGCAAAAAAATCTCTATGCTGTTGCAGCATGTCAAAGATTTTTGTTGTTTGTGTTTGGAAAATAATATGTAATTAGTTATGGTAGTGTTCTCTGGATTTAAAAATCTGTACAAGGTAACCTGATCTACTCTGATGTAACATAATGCTCCAAATACTTGTTTCTGCATTTTAGATTTCTGGTTTCTTAACAGTGTTCTTTCTTTCATCTTGCCACTTTTAATTAATTAAAACGGAATTTTGCTCCAGCTCTAACGTTAAATCCACTGAAAGCCTGAAGCTCCAGTCCGCCTTCTGTATGTTGAGCTGGTACTACACAAGATGAACAATATAACATGTTGCACATAAATTTAGTATTAGAAAAACGAAAAAGCAAATTAAAAATATGTGATTTTTTTTTTTTACAGATATCTGTGATGAGACACGTTCTGTGCTTTCTTAAATCCAGAATTAGTGTTACCTAGATAAAGGTGTTCATTATTTATATCAAATAGAACAGGTGAAGCCGAAAAGACAAAATGTAACTAACTTCATGAAATTATTTTAGTTGATGAATAAATGTCGGTGTTGCTGAACTTCGTTATGATGCAGTAAAAATGTGTGTCTATCACAGGGGAACACAAAACTCCCTTGTAGTTAAATCTATCCCTTGAAGTGGAAATAGTTCTGTAATTGTTTTCCAATAGCTAAAATAGCTTTAGAGCACCAGCTGAGCACTCACAAACTTTTAGTGCGAGAACTGGAACAGAAAAAAAATTTTGCAAAAGGGTGTGGGGAAGGGTTCATGTCACAAATTCTCAGTATGTAAAAAGACAGCTGAAAGATGCAGAGTTTGGGGTTTTTTAACTGGTTATTTATGTAGTTTTTATTCAGACATAAAGACAGTATTTCAGTCTATCCTAGTTTGGGAATTTCTTTATTTTTATTTTTTAAATCTAAGAACACCTTTGTGTGTATAGCGCTTAACTTGATTAATAATATTCAGTACAGAGGGAGGTTGGTTCTTCCACATCTACATCCAGTGCTCAGTTAATATGTTTGAAATTAAAGTAAGCCTTCCTGATGGTCTCTCAGCAGTTATTCGAAAAGATAAAGGCAAACCACAGCTTACTTGCCAGTATTTCTAACTAAAAACAAAAACATAAATGGAACTTGGAATTTTTTTGCTGTGAGAGAACAAAAATTATGACTTAAAGTTTTTATTACACATGAAATATAATTATTGTTTGTTAGCAAACATGATAGCTCTTTATTCTGGTGAACTATTTCTTATTTCCCTCCTTCCATTACCACTCTGTGTTTTTACATATAATGAGAATGTTTAAACAGAATACGAACTGTAGTTTGTTGTTTATTTTTCTGTGCTATTTAGTAATCCTAGTGCATATCTGAAGAAATATGGTGATAGATTTTGGGGTTTTTTTTCTTTTTTTTATCTTTTAAGGTTCCTGCTAAGAGAGATCCAACTCAAAGTACCATCAAAGAAGATAAAGTCCATCTGTTGAAGTATAATATAGGAGATCTAGTGTGGTCAAAAGTGTCTGGTTTTCCATGGTGGCCATGTATGGTTTCTGCTGATCCTGTTCTCCATTCCTACACTAAACTAAAAGGTATGTCAGCGATGCTACAAACATCCAGATTTCTTCAGGTATACATAACCATTATTTTGTGAAAATTCTGTTCTTCATTTTATCTATTCAGTTGTATCAGTAACTGAATCAGCTCCTTGTTGTCAAGAGGAGTGTTAAAATCATGTAAACACTATTCTTGAGTGTGTAGCAGACGGAGCTTTTTTTCCAGTGTGTCTTTTTAACTCTGACCGTTCTCTGAAAGGTATCAAAATTGTGATCTATGAAACTGTGTGGAGTCTTATTAAAAAAATTATCTGATGGTACTTTCCGTTGTCTTTATGGAGATGCTTGGAGAAGTGATACGGGCTAAAAATTTTATTGAAAGCTAATGGGAATTAAATACTCCTGATGATTATGCTTTACTAAAAGCAATCGGTAATTCAGGCAGCTAAATTTTCTGTGATTCATGGAACCAATACTGTTATCTACAGGCAAAATTATTTGATTCTAAATGCAGGGACTACCACATGTTAATGGAATTTTAAAGTAGGAATCTGTACAATTTCTTGATCTCGTTTGCAGCTTTGTTCTCTGTTCCGATACCTGAAACTTATCTGTGCTGGTTGTAGAACGATAAAGTAATATAGGTTGGAAAGGACCTCTACAAGTCATATGGTCTCCAAATTAGAGCAGGTTGCTCAGGGCCTTATCCAGTCAAATATTTAATGTCTTCAAGGATGGAAACTTTACAGCCTTTCTTGGGCAACTTGTTCCAGTGAGTGGCAGCCGTTATGGCAAGAAGACTTTTCCCTTTATCTAGTTGAAATTTCTTTTGTTTCAACCTGTGTCTGTTGCCTTTTGTATTAGTACTATGTGAATCAGATTGATTAGGCACAATTTGCCCTTGGTGAGTCTATGCTGGCTATTTCTAGACACCTTGTCTTTCATGTGCTTGGACATGTCTTTTAGGAGAATTTGCCCCATAATCTTGTAGGCATTGAGAGTAAACTAGTCAGCCTAGCTTGTAGTTCCCCAGATTGTTTTTGTTTTTCTTGAAGGTGTGATGTTTGCACTGTTTGCCTTTTTCCAGTCATTGGGTATCTCCCCTGGTGGTTGAGACCTTTCAAAAATTATAGAGATCACCCGTACATCATATTGGCCGACACCTTCAGCTCCTTCTGAGGCATCTCATCTGGTCCCATAATCTCATAGATGTCCGATTTGATTAAGTGCTCTCTGACTTTTTCTCAATATGCTGTGGGTAGTGCCTCAGTCTTGCAGCCTTTATTGCTAGACTAAGGGACTTGAAGGCTTGGGGGCAGATGTTATAGGTTAAAAACCAAACAAACAGACAAAACCCGTAGACAGAGAAGGCATAGAGTATCCCAGCCTTTCTGTGTCCTTTGTCACCCAGTCTCCTGCCCCAGTGAGCGTTCCTTAGCCTTCCTTTTGCTACTGTTGTATTTACAGAAAATCTTCTTGCTGCATATTACATCCCTCGCTAGTTTTAACTCCAGCTGAGCACTGTAAACTGTTTTTTACTACATTTATGCCAAACTGTACTGAAAGTTCGGAAAACGGAATCCAGAAAACTTGCAGATTAAGGAGAAAAGCAAGAAGTTAATAGGAATATCAAACCAAAGTAGGAGCACATAACTTTGTTTTGATATTTATGCTTCTAAATACTTTCATGTATTTTATTAGATCAAGCAAAAGTATCGGCGTCTATTGTTATGAGCAGAGTAGGGCATTTACTTGTCACTGCAGATTTCAGTAACTTTTAACTGTGTATTTCCAAGTCTGGGAAGGGAGTGTTTTTGTGGTTTTGTTTTTATGTAGTTTTCAAGGGTTGCACTGAGAACTTGGAAAATGGACTAGAGTATACATCTAAAATTTGCATTGGAATTACAAATTTACAATGTGGAGGGACCATAAACATGTAGGATTAGAAATCAGAAGAGTCTTGATACTTTGGAGGTGTGGTCTGAAATAAATGCAGTTCAGTAGGAGTAAGTGTTGGATTTTTACAGTGGTAGGTGATCAAGCTCGGAAATGAGTAGAAAGCTGCATTTTCGCAGAAAGGAATCTGAGAGTTATAATAACCCATTGTAGTTTTCTCTGCAGAAAGACCAAAGTCACACTGACATAAATTAATAGTGCTGCTTATAAAAAGCATGAAGTAGATCCTTTGCTTTGCCAGTGGTGGCATGGCCTCAGCAGGAGTACTTTGTTCATTTTGTCCTGTTTGGGCCATCTCATTTCCAGAAACGTGGACCAAACAGAGAAGGTTCTGAGGACAGCGTGAACAGAAATCTAGGAGTCTATCTGCACGAGCAGACTGAAGGAACTGGGGCTGTTTAATCTGACAAGGAGGAGCTAAAGGAGAACCCAGTAATTGGCCTTAAATAACTTAAGTTACATGCCAAGAAGAAAAAACATAAATTCTTCTTGTTCTGGGAAGAAGAGAGCGTAGTAGCAATGAATATTTAGACTACATATTAAGAAGAACTTGGAAGGGATAAAGATAGTGAAGCATTGGGGTGGATTGCCTGGAGAAATGGTGTGATCTCATTCATAGGAGGTTTTTAAGAACAAATTGAATGAGGATCTCTAGGATTTTAGCTAGATTCAATGTTGGTAGTAAACTAAAAGGCTAATTGAGAACCCTTTCAAGCATTCATACAATTGCTAGATTATAGACAACTCAGGCAAATGTTTCTTGTAGCAGTCTTTCAGAGTTTTGATCAGGCAGTCCCTGTGATTTTAGTCTTTGGATTTTTAGGTCTATTATGAGATAAGGAGCTGGATTTTGAGAGAAATAAAGCTGTTTATTTGTTCGTAACTGAATTACTCTGCTCCTTAAAAGGAGCAAAGTTTTTGCTTCATTATCAAGAATCTCTGTGGTAGCTTTTTATAAGAAACTATAGAAATAGATCTAGCAAAAATGAGTGTCATATGTCTGAATGCAACCTGTGGAGTACTAACAGAAAGAAGGGCCCACATACTTGGAGATGTTAACTTCCATCTCTTTGTAGTAATATGGATGATGGTCATTTCTGACATTTGCTCTGGAGTTGGCTTGGAGCCTGCCTTTTCCTTCAGGAGGTTTGACTAGGTCTGGGCAGCCGTCATAACTGATAAATGCACACTGATGTGCATATTTCCATCAGTACGTATTTCCAGTCTTGTATTATCTTCCACCTACCATTTATTCTTGAGGCATTATCGAAAGTCTCCTGTTCCAAACAGAAGAGTTCTTTTATCTGGGAGTTGTAGAAGTACTCAGCTACGTCTCTGTATTTCTCATTTCTAGGATTAGGATCAACAGTGTTTGTAAACAATCTGAATTTCTGGATGCTAATACTTGATTTCATCATTCCAGCTGGTTAGACATGAGAAAAGTTTGTAACTTTCAACTTGCAGGATACACACTTTCATGTAAGAGGGTCCATACTGAGTCAGACTAAAATTCCATCGCATTCAATATCCTGTCTCTGACTGTGGTCAACCACAGATGCTAGGGTGCAGAAAAAGACAATGGTGGTGGGTCCCCAGAACACTCTCCCAAACCTTCAATAATTAGTGGTTCCAGGATTCTGTGAGCCCAAAACGATGTCCTTGTATGTAACAATCCTTAATGAATTCTGTTACTTTATCCAGGAGCATTGATACGAATTCAGCCCACAGAAGATACCTGAAGATTCACAAATAGGTTCAATGATTCTAGTGGTAGGCACTATTATTTAGGCTCGTTAATTAGGCAGTTACAGCTGTCCAGCATTATATTGTAAAAGCAATAGTGTCTGTGTCTACTTGGAACTGGGCTGATGGCTGCTCAGAGGCAGATCTTTACAGGTCGTTGTAAATGTAGTCTGTGCCATCTCTCTGTCTTGCAGCTAGAACATCCTGGTAAAATATGAAAATTATCCTTTATTTCATCATAGCTTAAGTCATTGGAGCTCCGTAGTCCCTAGTTAAGCCACATTTTCTTGATGAGGACAAAATAATTACTGTGCAAGAGAATTGCTCCTGACTATGCATTACTAGAACATGTATTAGGCTACTAGATTGGATCTGTGATTTTTTTTTCTACGTCATTCCTCTAGATTCTCATATCTGATCTCAAATGAGTCCTCATAAGTCTAGAAAACCCAGTAATAGTGCGTGAAGCAACCACCTAGAAGTATTTGCTGATTAAGGTAGAAGACATGCAGTGTATGAATAACCTAGCAAAATCTAGACCTAGTTTGAAGACATCTGTAATGGAGAACTGCGACAGTTATTTGTTCTCACTGGGTAGACATCCTTACCTGATTTCCTCTTCTTCCCAGACTACATGTTAGACATACTAATGTGGTGACACCTTGAAGAACCATAGGTACTGGGGGCGGGGTGGGTAACTGATCCTTTTCTAGCAGGACTGAATTTACAAACACGAAAGTGTAGGTCATCACAGTTAAAATCTTCACTATTTTTAAATGAGACCCTACTTTGAACACGTAGACAACAAATCTGCAAGTTTTAATGAAGGAGGTGCTAGAGGACGTCTTAAGTCTGATTCTCTTACCTCTGCCTTTTAGAAGTTTGTTGTTAACTGTGAAATCTTCAGTGAATTTTGAAGATGTTGTCTTCCCCCTTCACTGTAGAATAGCTGAGATCTTTAGAAGGGGAAGGTTGTATGCCTATATCTTACTACAGTGAGCCAGTATTCCTCTTTACAGTCTTAGAAGAATGAATGTTTCTTGTCTAGGTTTCAGAATTGTTCTGTTATCTTCCTGCTCTCCCTTCCACCACCCAAATCCTTTTCATTTCTTGCTTTGATTCCTTAAAAGCTTGGTTAAGATGAAGTTGTGATTGCAAGTGTTAAAACTAGCTAAAGTATGTGTTTCTATTCAAGAATATTAAAAGATAAAGTTTAGGCTAATCAGATATGAGGCTGAGTGCACAGGCTATCCAAACTTTGGAAACTTTTTCAAATGTAGCATTTTCAGAAATAACCAGGCCTAAATGTAAGTTAATATACATGAAAAGCACTGACAGATGATTGTAACCTTAAGTTAATTTAGTAAAGCATATTCTTGTTTGGAATTAAACTATTGGGCTTTTGTGTCAAACTTCATAGATTATAGCTCAGAGACTTTCAAGATGGTTAAATGGTTTTTTGAAAGGTTAACCAGTTGTACTGTGCTTTTGTCATGGTAACTATAGTAGCTTACAAAAGACTTCAAGTCTGAAAGAGACTGTCTGCAGAGAACAACCTAAGTTGTATCTTAAATACATTCGTTTTTAATTTTCAGGACAGAAAAAGAGTTTTCGTCAATATCATGTTCAGTTTTTTGGAGATGCCCCAGAGCGAGCCTGGATATTTGAGAAGAGCCTTGTGCCCTTCAAAGAAAAAGACCAGTTTGAACAATTATGCCAGGAAAGTGCAAAACAAGCCCTCACTAAAGCAGAGAAAATAAAGGTAAGAGGCTACCACGTCAGACAAGATTTGCAGCTTTTTATATTACTGTTACAGCTATGTACAGATATAAATAGATATTCTAGAAAGCTTTAAAGACAGCTTGTTTTACAGAGGCTTGTCGTGTTGTATTTTACTTATAGATTCAAAGAATGGGATGGTTTACCACTGTTTGTTACTTTTTAAAAATCAGTACTCTTCTGCTTTGTCATTGATTCATGTGTGGTATCAGTACTTTCAAATACAATTCCATTTGAATGTTTGAATTATAATTATGCATTACACTTAGCCTCTTAGAATTGTTTTGTGTTAATGTTGGCATTTTGAAATCAAAAGTGGGCAAATTTCTCACACTGTCGTCTTATCTTGCAGATGTTAAAGCCTGTTTCAGGAAAGCTGCGGCCACAGTGGGAGATGGGTGTTAAGCAAGCAAGTGAAGCAGTAGGCATGACAGTGGAAGAACGGAAGGCCAAATACACCTTCATCTATGTTAGGGACAGACCTCATCTTAATCCTCGAGTGGCAAAGGAAGTTGGCATTGCTGTGGAACCATTAGAGGAGATAGATGAATCATCTTACTCAAACGAAGAAACCACTCAAAATCTGAAATCGATGAAGGAATCTGGCATTCCTAACAAGAGGAGGAGAAGGACATCAAAATTGTCTGCCACTGATGATACACAAGAAAGCAGTCAGTCGGGGACTAAGAATACTACTCCTCAAAAGTCATCTGAACAGGCAGAATCCAAAAGAGGGATAGGCTCCCCTCTCAATAGAAAGAAAACTCCAGCATCTACTCCGCGAAGCAGAAAGGGCGATGCAGTATCTCAGTTTTTGGTCTTTTGTCAGAAGCACAGAGATGAGGTTAGTCTCTTTTAGCTGTTATTATTGTTGATTGCCTCTTCTCATTTCTGTACTTAAAGAAACTTCTTTACTTCAGTTGACAAAAACTAGTTGTTACAGTAGAATTCAAAATACTCTGGACTTGACAAGGTATGCCTGCATCAAATCTTAGTCTAGACAGGAACAGAGAAAGAAGGAAATGTAGATGAGCAATATAAACAAGGTAGTGATAATGCCATTGTACTTTAAGCATGAGTCATGTTAGTATCTTCCTACATAATCTAATAGTCCTTTGTATTAGCCATAATTTTTTTTAATGTATGTAAAATATTGTAGATATGCATACATATGCTCAGGCAAATATAACAAAGGTTATGCTGTTTATGGCAATCTTACTTTGTAGTTAGCTTGTACATTGTTTCTGAAGATGTGGCTCAATTCCTTTGGTTTGTTCCCTTGTCTTTGAACTACTCAAAAACTCGATTTACCCACCTGTAATCTTTTGCTGAGCTTCAAGAGAAGGTAGTTAACAAAGCTTGTAAAAATTACTGTCAGTGTGCAATCTGCTGGGACAGCAACTGTGTCCTCTTGAGAGGATTACACTCCAGGACAAGGTAGAATAAATAAATACCTTAATATCAACATTTCTTAGGAAGACTGTTAGAGGTATAAAAGCAGTACTGCTGTTCTAGCTCATTACTTCAAAATCATGACCATTGTTTTCCTTCCTTACAACCCTCTGCTCCATTTGCAGTACAATTCCATGCACTGAAAGAAGCATGAGTTCTCATATTTTCTTGTAGTTGTACTATTCCATAATACCCACAGAGTGACCAGAAAGTGAGTGGTGACTTTGTCACACTCCCTAGCTTCTGAATGGTTGACTTCATTATGAGGTGTTTGTGTTAGAAAACATTAATAGATACGAACTTATAAAGCAAAATTGAAAAACAGATTCTGTTGTATGGAAGTCAATTAGTTGTGGTTCAACTTAGGATCTTTTTAGATCATTGCGACTTAAGCTAACATTGAGAATGAAGCTGAACACAGCGTTAAATATACTTTTTAGTGGCTTTGGTTAAATTGACAAGAGCGTTGGCAGTTCAGTTTGCTGGCTCCAGAAGGGAAAGGGTTTTGTAGCCAACTATTAAATACAGATTTTAACATATTCATTATGAAAAGCTCTATGGGTAAATTACGTGTCTCATGTTTGAGAGACCTGAGTTCTGTTTCCAGTCCTTCTATAAGTAACCGTGTGTCTTGTATAATGGCAAGGGGGAATTTCCTTGGCCTTTAAGGTAGGTAGCGAGAAGTCTTGTGCAATATTGAGAGACATGAAATTACTTCTCTGGAAGAAATGAGGTTATTATGACTGGTTTTATGGATTCTTAGCCAAATGTATCTTACCACAGAAGAGACATGCTGAGTCTCTGATGTTATATTTCTATTTTTTGTGCCAGTTATCAAGCTTCATTCCCTACTATGGTTATACTGTAATTCTCAAATTAATAGATGGAAAATATGAAGACTATTGCAATATTTGACATTGAGGAATTGCTTTGTCTTCAGTGTCATTTCAGGAAACTGAAAAACTTGCGTAAGCTTGAAAATCACACTGATGATAGTGGCTAATATTGCACAGAGTTGTAAGTAGAAGGAAGAGAGTTTCAAAATATTACATATATTTAGAGAGAGGACATCCTACCATTTTTGCTTAGAATATCTTTTAATAAGATCAGTCATGAAAACCCAAATCCACCTGATTGTGGGATCCATTCTAATAGGTACGGCAGCACTTCTGTATGTAGAACAGAACTAGGTTACGAAAACTGCAGATACCAGGTAACTGCAGATCACAGTCTCTCCAACCGATCAGGGCAGTAGAACCTTTTTTTCCTTTCTCTTGATTCAAAGTTACTGGCAAAGAGGGGAAATACCATTTTAGATATTCATGCTTCTTGCACAGAACCTAAGTTACCTGAGTTTAGTTAACACTTCCAGCCTGTCATCTTGCTTTTAAAATGGTAGTTTTGTGCCTTCGGTGGACGGTGGAGATTATATCCAAACTAGTATTTGGAGTTTCCCCTTGCGTTAGGCTTATCTGGTTCAACTTGCATGGTTTGCTTTCCATCCAAGAGTTTGTTTTGTTGCTGTTGTAGATGTTTTGATGCTTTAGAAGGAGTGATAACATTGGTCAAAAACCAGACCTGTTTTTGAGCTACTTATATGGGTGGCATCTGAGAGTTTAGTGTATGGCTACTTTAGTATTTGCATGTAGAAACTTAGAAGAAAGGAAAACTATGGATCCAGAAGAGGCTCTCTGGCCCCCAGACTTGGGAAGGGATGGAAGTGAATGGAAGGGAGTGACTGAAGACTTCTCTTTTGGACCCTCTAATAATCATGAGCTCTCTTAAAAGTAGAGCCATTTCTGCTGTGTCTTGCTTGGAGTCAGGCTTTGTGTGGTAGTAGGATTCATATATTGGTTTGGTTTTATTAATTACTACTTTTTGTGTTACTTTTCTGGGGATAGGAGGGTGAGGCATAGTTGAAATTTTTAGAAATGAATGATGGCTGCTGGAAGACTGGATGAACTGCTGGAAAACATTTTTAATGATTTAAGAGGCATGCTTCCCCGAGGGAAGTGTTGAAAGCTTGGAGCACTTTCATGGTTGTAGTGACGCATTAAGTATTCTGTGCTGTTACCAAAGGAGTAGATATATTTTGTACTATTGGCATTCTTATGTGCTTCCCCAGTGAAATATAACCATAGTAATCATTAGAAGGGAATGTCTGACTTGAGATAAAGGTATCGTTCAGTGAGAGGCAGACAGCTATGCTGTTTATATTAATTCATTGATTTGGGCCTTGAGTCTGTTTCGAGGTAAATAAAGAAATAATTTCACTAGCAGGGTTTACAATTGAAGATTTCTGCATGCATAAGGAGTTGTTGAACATTAAGACAAATAAGGGCAAAGATAATATGCTTTGCTTGGATGAGCTAGGACGTGCCTGGTCTAGTTACCATGTTTTCCACATCTATAGTGATATTAATTCCCAGATCCAAGAAAAGATCTTCCATGTGTTCTGTAACATAGTCAGAATAAGTACCTGGGAGAAGTGCATAATTTTCATGTACAGCAAGATACCTGATACATCATTTCCAGTATGTATGCCAGCATTGAGTATTACAGTATGAAGACTTTGGAGAAGACTGCTGGGCGTTTTCCTTGGAGGCCTTCTTTGCAAGGATCCCTTAACCATTAAGAACCATGAGTGTGTTTTGCTTGTCATTTCACAGCGCTCCTAGTCAGTTGAAAGTTGTTTTTATTCCTATTTTGATGGGACTGGAGCTGATGTTAAACTCTATCTCATTTGTGCGAACAAAGCTACTTATTTCTTAGAGAATTAAATAACTCTGTGCCCTAGTTGAGCACAATGAACTATACACTTAGTGACAATGGTCAAAATTGATGCTAATTCACTTTCACAAAGAAGTGAGATTTGTGGGAGGGGTATCTTGTGAGTCTGTCTACGTTCTCCCCTCTCAATAACTTTTTTGACATTGTTGGATTTTAATCAAATTATTGAGTAGAGGCCCTCAAAGGTAGTTGTGTTTTCCAAGCTTTATGCAGATGGGTTATGCCAGATAGAAGCAAGAGAATTCTTAGTACTCTACTAGGGGGGAAATTACAGCATGAGTTTCCATACTAGACACTGAATAATCCCAGTGGAAGGAAGGTAATACAACTCTTCTAACCCCTGGAAAAACTTGTCATGCTTGTATCTTGTTTGACAACAGGAAATGCAATTTTAAGACACTTAAGTTCTAAGAAATTAGGTTTAATCATTTCCACTTATTACCGAAAATTTGTATTTCTGTTCTGTTGAATGATGTTACTGTTTGAACGCTTGGCTTTGTTGGCCTAGTTTTTATTTTGCTCCGTGATTTTAGGGTATTGGTTGCATCACTCCAGGAATAGGATTTTGGGGAATGCTGGGTAATGAGATGGGAAGGTGTTTTTAAAGCTACTGTTTCATTTCTGTAGATCCTACAATCTTAGAGTTTTCTGACTTCTGTGATTAATCAAATCTGGTTTTCCTTAAGTAGAAGTATGGGAATACTCAAGGAGTTTGGGAGGATTTTTTCTTTGTTTTTAATATTGGATTTTCTGTTGTGTTGAATAAATGTCTAGAAACTCTCTTAAATTCCATGTTGATGGCTATTATGTGTCATGCGCATCTTATTAAGAAAAGATGCACAGCTTTTTGAGTGCCTAATATTCATATACATAGTATAAAATGATGAATTAATACAGGAAAATGTTGCATCGGATGCTAGCTTGTGTAAATCTCTCTGGTAAGATAGGTGTAATGAATTCTATGTTTAATAAGTTCTCATATGAATTGATGGATGTCTTTGTAGGCAAGCATATATTCCAATATTGCTTGTCTGTCTTTTGTGGTATAGATTTAAACTTCATCAAGAAATAATACAATTTTTTTTGAATGACCACAAGACCAAGATTTACACTTACTCCATTTTTTGAATGTTAAAAGGCAAATACATACTTCCAAAATGATTCTTAATACTTCTGAATATGGTAGTAGGTTTTGGGGTTTTTTTTAGAGAGACAGAGAGAGAGAAGTGGTTATTCAAAGAAAAACTGGATACAGCAGGTTTTAATCTAGTTCTGTCTACATCAGAAATGCTAGATAACTTGTTTGTATCCAGTTTTCCAAAGCAATAGAAGTATGTACGCCATTCTTTTCAATGGTCACCTTTTTTTAATACAACCCTATTTCTGCATGTATAGGTGGTTGCTGAACATCCAGATGCTTCAAGTGAGGAGATTGAAGAATTGCTCGAATCGCAGTGGAACATGCTTAGTGAAAAACAGAAAGCTCGCTATAACACAAAGTTTGCCATAGTGACCTCTCCCAAATCTGAAGAAGACTCTGGTAAACGTAAAACTGTGCTAGTGTACTCTAACTAAATTTGATATACATAGTGGTGTTAAACTAAGCACATAT